TATGCAAATCTGCTTGTTGTCTCTGCTACCTGTCACTTGTTTGTGAGTCCGTTTTCCGAAGTAAGGGTTGGGATCTCTGTATATTATGACATTTCTGGTTGTTACACTGGGTGCCTACATGTTTTGTTCAGAGTACATTTGATTGGCTAACCAACCTTTTTGATTCTGATTTTTTCTCTCGTTTCAGTTTACAGTCCATCAACCCTATCTGGTTTGGCTGTTCTTCTCGGATGGTGGACATTGTTGTATTCATTGTATCTAGGACTTTGTTCCTTCCCTATATATTTTCTGCCTTTTGTTCTGTTTTGTCGCAGCTTGAAAGAGGAAATGATGCATGGGGAGGAGAGTTTTATAGTACCTAACTTTTTTCTGATTGGTTGTTTTTCTGTGCTGCTGTGGAGTTCTAGTAAAGAGAGACTTAAGCAAATACTCGCCTCCTGTCACTAATAAAATTAAGATTATAGGTACACTAAAGCTAGCATAATCTACAATTATCACAAGCAGGAAAAATACAGTTTTTATACATGTACTATAACATGTAAAACCATGCATCCAATCTTCATAAAAATTGAATCTTCATATTCAGAATCAGCACACTTTAAATATAAACATAACCAAAAATCACACAAATCCCTCCAGTGGATAAAAAGTTAGACAGAAGTCCTTTATGACCGAGTGCAAGCACATTTTCATGCCCAAAACATTTCCATAGAGTTATGCTGTGCGGTCGGTCAAATTTATACAGAAAAATGACTAAGTCCCATTTGAATGTGCGTTCAAATTGCCAAACGGGACTTAGTCTCTGAAGCTGAAAATTCGGTGTAGGAGAAGGTAAGGGTCAGCAGTGTTCGTGGAACTGTGTAGCCGATTTCAGTTCCATGGATTTGGCTACACACATCGCTGACCTTATTCGAATGAGCAAAGATGGCCGCCGCCACGTGTTGGTTTGCACTAACTGCAGCCACCCAGCGGTCGGCAATTTACCTACAGCAGGCACCCAGCCTGGGAGGTAAATTGCCTGCACACTTCCACTTCTGGGTGGTCCGCCTGTGGGGTACTTGGTTCAGTAATCCCCATTTACTAAACCAAGTGGGAGGAAGCCAGGAACAAGTTATTGTACAGGTCTGGGGACACAGACTTAAAGGGGCATTGTTCACCAAAGTCACAATATGTCCCCATACAGTTCTTAAAGGGCCATACAAACCCAAAAGTCCATAAGTGTGCACAATCTCCCAGGGGCCATCATCATAAGGAAGGAGGCTGGTAAATAGGCTTCTCCACAACCCAGGGAAGCAGGGCAATTTGTCATTTAAAGGGCCAGTTACAAATGGCAGTTGGTAACAGCCTCCGTAAACAAAGGGAGCCTTTTTGGATCTATAAATTAAAGACTCTAGCACCGGCAGGTTTGAATGTATGCCGCTGACCTGGCTATCTAATCTACACACCTACTGCTGTAAAAGCCCACAGTGTATTCATGGCAAGAAAGTATTCCAACATGTGTACATAGGCAAACCCCGTTAAAATGTAAGACCTATTATTGTACTTTTCATCAAAGATTTGTAAAGGCAGTCTTCTTGGACTGCAGTGTGTCTATTTTATAGGAACTTATCCATGAAGCACATTCCCATATTGTGATGATAGTATTGGATTATATAGCTCAGTAATGTGATACAGAGAATTAACCTTCGCACCTAAGGGCAAGGATACCTTTATCAATCTAATGTAAATCCAATTCATATACCACCTAAAGTTAGACACACACAATTTAATTTTTTCTTCTCTCTCTGTGTTTTAAGTATTAGAGGTCTGTGGTGTGAATACTGATAGTATAAAATTATCTATATTAGGAAAAATGAGGGCATCAGCCCCCTCACAGGTTACAACATTTGCTTTCAGAACATTTCAGATATTCGATATAGGTTCTGAAAGCAAATATTGTGCAGTATGCATATAGGTTTTTAAGTACATACAATAAAACACATTTATAGAATGTTAATCCACCCAATAGGACACAATAAAATATATGAATAATAACAGCCTAGTGGTCATAAAACATGGTAAGTATAAAAGGAGAATTACAAATGTAAGTAAAAATACATAAAATTATATAAAATTAAACAAGTCAAAGTTTATATTTAGACTCTGGGGGGTTAGTGTTTTTAAGTTAAATACCCATTCCATCTCCATTTTACCTAAAATATTTTTAATATAACTGCCTCTCTGGGGGGTGAAATATCTTTTACCAATAAAGACCTCACTATACCAACCCCAAAGACACTATATCACTATACCAACAAATACACTTAATATTCCAATCACTCCAAATCACCCACTATTCCCAATCATCCTAACAGATAATCAGCTACTATCATTAGATTCCGAAATTGACAATGAGGACCATTTTTTAGAGATTCAGACTCACCCCAACTCACTAGCTCCAACCCCCTACCCATTACGGACAAGAAAAAGGACCTTAAGTCCAGAGGCAGACGAACACAAACAAGAGGGAGTAGAAAGACACTGAACACCCCCAATAACAAACCCTGTGGCATTTTTAACCTATCAAATAAACTTTTATCCACCCCCCCAAATATTAATTCTTAACAAAGGCCTGAAATTTGCTCCTACTAATTCTTTTAAACATTTTGAAGCCTTTTTAGATATAAAGTTTGTTCGCAAAGCCACTTTAAAGATATTTTTAAATGACAATAGAAAAGAACCAGACCATTAATTCTACTCTGAAAGAGAAATCAAAATTGTATCCTACCTATTTTAATTTTGCCACCTTAATTATGTTTGAATAACTTGTTATAAAGGACCTTGAAAAGATTAATAACAGCAAATATGACCCACATAACCTAATTTACGCTGATCAGAATGCACTTAAACAATTACAAGAACATAAATATATAGTGATCAAAACTGCTGATAAAGGAGGAGGTATTGCAATTTTATCAAGTACCATGTATATAGCAGAAGCCCATAGACAACTGAAAGATATTGAAACATATGCAGTATTACCTTCTGACCCAACCCCAGTGATGCAAAGTAATGTACTTTCATTTTAAACCAAAAAACGTCTAGATGTTGGTATTCAAAACAACCAAGAATTTAACTAACTTAATGTGAAACACCCAAAAATTCCCTTGATATACTTCCTGACAAAAATACACAAAAATGAGAAAAATCATCCAGGCTGACCAATTGTGTCAGGAATCGACTCCCTCCTATATGAATATATTGATATACACCTCCAACCTTCCGTGAAATTAATGAAATCCTACCTCAAAGATTCTATGACACTGTTACGTTTTTTTTAAATAATTTTAACTGGCAACCCAATTTTATTTTAGCTACATGTGATGTACAATCCATTTACACTTGTATTCCCATCACATGGGTTGTCAGGCAGTAAAAAATATTTTAATGAACGAAAATAGAATCCCACAAACCCAAATCGATTTTATTCTAGAAGGCATCAATATTATTTCAAATAACTACTTTTGGTTTCTCAATTCTTTTTATCTCCAAAAGAAAGGTACAGCGAAAGGGATCAGGTTCGCCCGAAGCTATGCTAACTTATTTATGGCCGATTGGGAGTCTGGTGCCATATGGGGAGGGCACGCTTGGCATGCAAACCTGGTGACCTACTTCAGATACATCGACAATCTGTTTTTTATTTGGGAGGGTACAGAAGATACCCTCATTTATTTTATTAACAACTTAATGACAATTATAAGGGCATTATTTTATCTATTGAATTTAGCAAAACATCTATTAATTTCTTAGAACTTAACATTTTTATTCAAAACATCCAAATTCACACAAAAAAACTTTTATAAGAAAGTATGTGTCAATACTGCAATAGAAAAATCTAGTCACTACAAACCATGGTTAGTAAGTACTCCGAAGACCCAATTTCTGCGTTTACATTGAAATTGCTCCCAGTTACAAGATTTTGATAAACAAGCTGAATACTTAAAATATAAATTTATTGAAAAAAATCACTCGTCTAGTAATCTTAACAATGCTATAGAAATCATTAAGAAAAAAGAAAGAACTGACCTTTTAACATATAAAGTTAAAACAAATACCAATAATATAACTTTACCTGTTATTTTTAATTTCAATAACAAAAGTGGCCACCTGAAAAAAAAACAAAAAAAAAACACTGGCATACTTTAAAACAAGACTATCTATGAAATAATATTATACCAGACAGACCAAATATTGTTTTTAGAGGGGCCCTAAATTTTAAGTCTATTTTAACCCTAAATCTTACTAAAAAGGACAAATCCAATATTATTCCTTCCTCCTTTTTCCCAAATGCCAGTGGTTTTCACAAATGTTAAAGATGTATAGTATGCAAAAATACCCATCCATCAGAACAAAGACCACTTCATTTAAATCAAACATAACAAATAAAACATACCATATTAAAGATTGTATTAGTTGTGAAAGTTAAAACTTAATTTATCTACTGGAGTGACCCTGTTGCCTCCAGTATGTAGGCACGACGACGACAAGAAGCCTAAAGACAAGACTGAGTGAACACTGTAGAAAGATAAGAAAGGGATACTTTAATCACTCAGTCTCAAAACACTTTAACACAACAACAATACAAGACTACTCAAATTTATTGGTATTAAAAAATGTGTCACCCCCCTGGAGAGGCGCTAATATCAAAAATATTTTAGGCAAAATAGAGATGGAATGGGTATTTAACTTAAAACACTAACCCCCAGGTTCTAAATGTAGACTTTGACTTGTTTAATTTTATATAATTTTATGTATTTGTATTTACACTTGTACTTCTCCTTTTATAATTACCATGTTTTATGACCACTAGGCTGTTATTATGTCATATTGGGTGCATTCACATTCTCTAAATGTTTTTTATTGTATGTACTTAAAAACCTATATTGTTTAATCAAATCTCCCTTCTGTTTTTCTAATACTTATAATAGCCTTAGGTTGGGCTATATGCTGCCAACCACAATATGGCACCATCCCAGATAGTAGATGTGGCTACATGCCGCCAATCATTCCCTATAGCCGGCCGCACATGCTCAGTATGCGGCCGGAATATCACATTACTTACACGCGATCAGTTTTCATTATACTCATCGCGGGCTCTCTCTCCTCTTTCAGCCGACTACACTAATGTGGCTGAAAGAGGTAATCAATTCCATCACTCACAGCTTGCGGCTATATGCCGCCAACCATTATGGCGGCTATATGCTGTCAATCATAACATGGCGCTCAGCCATTCACTTTCCTCAGCCGGCCACACATGTATTACAGTATGCGGCCGGCTTATAACATGTATTACACGCGATCAGCTTCTAGATACTGATCACGTGTTCATTTCCCTCTCTCAGCCGACCGCACAGATTCCGTGTGCATTGCTGGCTTGTTTACAATTGTAGACAAACTACATTACCCACAATTCCTTCACACTATTGTGACTCACAGGTCACATGTCTCACCGATTTTACTGAATTAAAAGCCATCCAATGCTCGTTTTAAATAGAAACATAGAAACATAGAATGTGACGGCAGATAAGAACCATTCGGCCCATCTAGTCTGCCCAATTTTCTAAATACTTTCATTGTTGTGGTAGTTTTTCTTCTTTTAAATATAGTCTCCTCCTTTACTGTGTTGATTCCCTTTATATATTTAAATGTTTCTATCATATCCCCCCTGTCCCGTCTTTCCTCCAAGCTATACATGTTAAGATCCTTTAACCTTTCCTGGTAAGTTTTATCCCGCAATCCATGAACCAGTTTAGTAGCCCTTCTCTGAACCCTCTCTAAGGTATCAATATCCTTCTGAAGATACGGTCTCCAGTACTGTGTACAATACTCCAAGTGAGGTCTCACCAGTGTTCTGTACAATGGCATGAGCACTTCCCTCTTTCTACTGCTAATACCTCTCCCTATACAACCAAGCATTCTGCTAGCATTTCCTGCTGCTCTATTACATTGTTTGCCTACCTTTAAGTCATCAGAAATAATCACCCCTAAATCCCTTTCCTCATATGTTGAGGTTAGGACTCTATCAAATATTCTGTACTCTGCCCTTGGGTTTTTACGTCCAAGATGCATTATCTTGAACTTATCCACATTAAATGTCAGTTGCCACAATTCTGACCATTTTTCTAGTTTACCTAAATCATTTGCCATTTGGCTTATCCCTCCTGGAACATCAAATGAAAATTAAAGCTATACTATTATGTATTCTTTTACTATTTCTAATGTATAATTGTTATCCATGTTTGATATCACTTTTAAATTGGATTTTCTTGTTGGCTAATTTAATTTTTGGTGCCAATTTTAATCCTATTGTACTACTATATAAACTATGTTTGCCAGACTGTTATTTTTACTCCATTTGAAGAAGCCACATATGGTGAAACGCGTTATGGTTTTAAATTGTGTATTTTACCAATAAATGTCTTTTGGTTACCTAAGCTGTACCAATTTTCTTTTTATTGTAATTTATATGCACTTTATTATTTTTATTTGTATTCTTACTGGCAATTTTATTTGTTCCTGTACTCAAAGAAATCCAAGGTGGGGATCATTCCACCAACGCTTTATTAATAGAGCAGTAATTCTTGCTCTTTACTTGTGACTATCATTTTATCTATTTTATATCTCATTTTTATCATATTGCGAGCACTATTGTTGTCTTTTAATCACAATTCGGAGCCTCAGAAACCCAGACTGTATTGACGGATGCACCACTCCTGCATATCCTTTAACAGGGATTATACTGCTATACGCCCTTCACTCCAGAGCTGGTTATAGCTCTTGTAAATGTGAGTGTATTACCTACTTTTATTATTCAATTTATCCCTGGATCTTGGCTAATTGCACTATTAGCTGTTGTATCTCCCTTTTGTTTTCTCCACATATACGGATATTTTATTCATCCGGACAGATCAACTCCTGGGGATTGCACCCCCACCCTATCCTGTTATATTAGTGAGACTTTATTTCTGACCACCTATTCCAGTGGACTATACTTTTATTATTGAAATGTACAGGGTGGTTAAATTAAATATAAATAATGCTGTGCAGGATAGATTCTTAGTGTGGTCTTCAAGAAGGCTACCTTTGCTTATTGCAGATGATCAGCTGATGGAGCACTGGCTTTCTTACAGCAATATCAGAGCTTGAAAAATTGGAAATCAGGCTGATAATTATTATTTATATAGTGCCAGCAAATTCTGTAGTGCTATACAATGGGTGGACGTAATTGTAACCAAACAAGTGTACTCACAGAATCGGAGGGGTTGAAGCTACTGCTCAATTAGCTTACACCTTTGCATTCACACACTGACACTCCACGCAGATCTAACCCTACATTTACAATTCACTGTGGCATTCAACTCAAATACATTCCTATAGTCAATTTTATGAATTGTATTGCTATGGAATGTGCCCATATTCAATAAACAACACATTACTGAGCACCACAATTATATTTACAAAAGTCTGAATTGTACCAAGTTTTCTGAATATAAAAATTTGGATATTTTAATTTTGCAAATCAGTAATTTCCTTGACAATTCAGATTTAAAACACTATAATTTCCTGTTCAGGAGTTTATTGAAGTACAATGTGCATTTTAGATGGTTGTTTTTATTTTTGTAATATCCTGCATTGTAATTAAATAATATGTCAGTGCCATACCCAAGACTTTGCTCTGGATCTATCCATTAATTTGAAATATGCAAAAATTGAGTGCAGGCATCATAATTTATGTCACTCTTCCCTTTGAAATGGCTCAAATCACTTAAAAGACATTGTCCCAGTCAGAACAAACCATATTCAGGTCATTGAACCTCTTGAGCCCCGTTTATTGTTGTGCTGGACATGCATTGTGCTATTTATTTAGCTCCCTTTGCTTTGTTACCGTAGAAAAGCAAATTATAATTTATGTAAGTTCTTACACGTATCATAATTATTTTAACTTAATATTAAAGTGTTTGAACATATTTAATTTTATTTATGAAATACACAGTAATCATTTTACTCATGAAAGAAGAAGGGCTACAAACTTACTCAGACAAGCAGGCTACAATAAAACAGGGATCTGTCTCCCGTCCCTCCTTCTCCTGCTGGATACAGCCTTACACTGCAGAACCAACACGTAACTGAGAAAAACAAGGACTTTCCTTCTCCCCCCGCCTGAAATCTTTTCAGTTTTATGAAATGGTGGACCATAGTAACAAACATTGCAATATTTTTAAACTCACTCAAAAATTCATGAAGATTTATGATTTGTTTATCGTTGCTTAATAAAGGGTTTTTGAGTTCTCCCAAAGTCACCTAAGAAATAGCTTGCATAATCAGATGTGAAACAACGGCAGACAGTTATTGCTTTGAAAGTTGTGCAGGAGTTTTACAGAATGAATTTGAACATAATGCAAGTGATGTCAGCTAGATGTGATGTCTTTATATTCTTAATAAGGAGAACTGACATTTAAATAGAAAAAGATCTTTCTGTATGAGACCACAAGGGATGGGCATTGCACAGCGAGAATCAATTATTACTCATGGGTACACTAAAAACATGACTTAAAAACAACACTTAATTTTAGAGTATTAGAGTTATAACTCTAAAAAAAACACAAATAGTAAGTATTTTTTTAAAGTATTTTGATTAAAGAAGTCCTACAATGCTACAAAAATTGTCAGACATAGGGACACATTTAATGGGACAGATTTATCAAAGTTTCATTCACATTTTACTAATTTTTTTTTTAATTTTTGATGGCTTTATTTAATAATTATTTTTTTTTAAATGCACATCTATTTTTCAGGGGTGCAACAGATTTATCAATCTTCCCATCACTTTTCCATCAGAAAAGTGTTTTATTTCACTTTTCTCACAAGTCGAAATTTGGCAGCCTTTACTATGAAAAACTATGCAATTTTTGGGGAAAAAAGTGACATTTTATAGAAGAAACCAAAAAGAAAGGAAAGCTTACCAGGTCACATTGATACATCTCTCCCAAAGCATTTCAATTACAAAAAATAAATAAAAAATATGATTTAATATGTATTCACTGATTAGCCACAACAGGTGAAGTGAATAACATTGATATTTCATTACAAGGGGTGGGATATATTAGGCAACACGTTAATGGTCAGTTCTTGAATTTCATGTGTTGAAAGCAGGAAAAATTGGTAAGCAAAACAATTTGAGGGCCAAATAGTGTTGGCTAGACGACTGGGTCAGAGTATCTCCAAAATGGCAAGTCTTGTGGGATGGCCTTGAATGCAATGTTTAGTACCTACCAAGAGAGGTGCTAGGAAGGACAATCGGTGAACTTGTGTCAGGGTCTTGGGCATCCAAGGTTCACTGATGCATGTGGGGAGTGAAGGCTAGCCATCAGGTCTGATTACATAGAAGAATTATGGTAGCTCAAATTGGTTTTATTGTTGTGGCTGATTGGTGTCGGTTTAACACAATAACTCATGCATTCTAGTTCTGTTCCAATGAATAAACCCTGACACTGCTGTTCTCTAAATCAAACTTTATTAACCTTTTTTTGACTGTGACTGAATTGCATGTGCGGTATTAATGCAGCAACCCACTGTTTAGTTTTAAATTTAACTCTGTGATACAGGAACACAAAGTAGAGAGCACTCTCCAATGAGAGAGATCTTCAGGTACAACATGTATAACTATCATTTGCTTCTCCCCTCACAATGTGAGCGTGTTACCATAGCAGATACACTTCAAGATCTCTTAATTCTCTCCCTCCTCTTGCACCTGTCACCTGTTTTTCCCCCTACATCAGGTATGATTTATTTTAGGATTTCTATTTTGAAATTATGGTTTGCCAGCTCTAAATTCTTCAAGCTTAGGATCTACCTGTTAGCCACAGCTCTGCCATGTATATGCTTCCAACTGGATGCTGGCTGCACTGGGGCTGGATGGGGTAAATTTCTACATTGGTGAGGTGGGTTGCAACCAACCGGGAGGTCTGAGCAGTGTAAGACCAGCTTTTGCTTAGATGGTATTGCATGCTGTCTTGTTTACTGACCCCAACCCCCTTACCCCAATAGGAAATCACTAGAACATGCAATATTGTGTTGCAGGATGGCTCTGATGGGTAAAGGTGGAGGTAAGTCTCTGGGTTTGGAGCTTTGCCAAGAAGAAATCACAAATGGGGTCTAAGGCCAGGAAGAAGATATGCTTAGGAGTAGACAACCATGTTTAGATATTATTGCCAGTGATTCCCGGCAGGGTGGCCATCTTAGGTGCTAAGTTTCAACTCTCCAAATCGCTAGGTTGCTTTGTAGGTTTAGGCAGGATGACCACTATGAATCACCAGTGGGGATTGGGATAATCCGCAATGGCCCAGAGGGTTGAGTGCAGGAGCCTTGGGCTCACTGGTCGGAACAATTG